TGTAAGGACCCTTGCTGTCTATGGGAGGGTCAGAGAGCTCTCGGGAATGCATCAAAAATATCTTAATCTTAAAACGGAGGTCTTACAGGTTTGGAACGACATGAGGGACAGTAATTAATGACAGAATTTTAATTTTTGGATGAACTATCCCTTTAAGCTCACATTTAAAATTATTAACAGGATCAAGTATATTGTCCTGAAATGTCCGATTTGGAGTGTTTTTTAAAATATCTCTGCACTAGACATTTCAATATTAAACATGTAAATGTGAAAATACCCAGCTCGTTCTCAGAGGCGGCTCTCATGGGTGTGATTGGTGGATGGTCTCCTACGTCCACTCCCTTTTTTGGCCTGTTAATGCCCTCAGAGAGCAGGGCTTTTACCTGTATACACAAACACACACAATATTAATCACTATACATAATTTTTGTGGCATATCAGGATTAAATATATAGGCTATGTATATTATAATACTAAATATTATACAAAATAAAAAACTAAATAATGCAATTAAACTTCCTACAAAAATACAACAACACCAACACCAAATCTTTCGATTTAATATATTATAAAATATTAGAGCTGTCAAACGATTAATCGCATCCAAAATAAAAAAATTTGTTTACATGATACTGTATGTGTGTACTGTGTATATTTATTATGTATAAATAAATACACACATACAGCATATATTTTGACAATATGTACATGTATTTACATGTGTAATTTATATTATAAATATATTTAATATATAAACATAACATATTTTTCTTAAATATATTCATGCATTTGTGTATTTATATATACATAATAAATAGACATAGTACACAGACATATGTAAACAAAAACTTTTATTTTGGATGCGATTAATCGTTTGACAGCACTATAAAATATTAATCATTAAAGAGCATATTAATTCATTAATGAGCATCTTAAGTGATCACTTCGGGGGGAGGAAAGGGCTATTGCTTACCGTTTCACCCCAGAAGGAGCTGTTGGCCTGCTGTTTGAGGGTGCCCTTCAGGTCAAAGTTTTCAGGGTAATGTGTGGTCTCCGTGCGAGGGTAGCTGATATAACCCTGTGTGTAGAGACGCTCTGCTATCTGCATAGTATGCTGGGGACCCATTCCTGAGAAATACACAGATAAAATCACATATACGCTGCAGTTTAAACGTTTGAGGTCAGTAAGATTTTTTTTCCACTGTCAGCATATTAGAATGATTTCTGAAAGATCATATGACGCTGAAGACTGGAGTAATGATGCTGAAAATTCAGCTTTGCATCACAGAAATAAATTACATTTTACAATATATTACAACAGAAAACAGTTATTTTAAGTTGCAATAATATTTCACATTATTACAGTTTTACCATATTTTTTATTAAATAAATGCAGCCTTAGTAAGCAGAAGAGACTTCTTTTAAAAACATTTAAAAAATCTTACTAACCCCAAACTTGTGAGTTAACTATTTTCAGTCTGATTATTTTTATGTAAATAATTCTTTAATACTACAAAATTACAGGAAAGAAGTGATGTTATTAGAGTAAATTAAGTTCTAAACCACTTAATCTAAGTTCAATGGCATTGACTGGTCATTACATTTCACAAGTAATTGGTTTTATTGTCTCCCCTCTTTCTTTCTTTCCTCATTAAACCCCTATTTCTTATGCTTCTGATTTGTGAATTCACAAGGAAAGCTGCCCACCCAAAGCAGAGCTGGCCACTCTTAACATCTCCACTGTATTCAATGCGATGGGTCTCTGCTTGGCTTTCTCTTTCTTAGACACTGATTCAACCTGCAAGAAAAGACACATTGCAACTCATGCAGTTACACATCACTAAAATATGAAATTACACAATCATAATAACTGAGATACAAATACATACTTTAGCCTCCTTAGCAGTCTTTGCCATGTTAACAAACATTTGACCAACATCTCGGTCAAAAACTCGCACGCGGTCCCAGTCCAAGGTGAGTGGACTGTCCTTGCCTTTAAAAACCTGTGTGCACAAAAAAAAAAGGGAAAATGCAGAAGTGAAGCAAGTATGCAATGCGAAATTATATAGCTGTTCTGTAAAAGAATTGGATTTTGAAAACTGGGTTTTGTATTTTGAGCAGAAAAGGCCAGAACTGACCTTTGCCTGTATAACCCAGTATGCTTCAGGTTTGAAGGACTGGATCTTGTCATGCCGTTCCACACAGAATCCCAGTGTGGGAGTCTGACAGGGACCAAACGAGATCAAGGAGGAGTCCAAATTCCCATATTTCCCCTGGAAGTATTTAGTCTGGAAACTAAAAATAATGATTATGTGTGATGAACAACTTACTATTATCTATAATAACAAATGTTTGACAAATGCACTACTGTTTAAAAGTTTGTAGTCAGTAAAAAAAAAAGAAATTTTTCTGAAATAAATTAAAACTTTTATTCAGTAAAGATGCATTATTTTAATAAAAAGTGACAGCGAGTGAATACATTTATAAAGCTACAAAATATTTATATTTCAAATGAATGCTGTTCTTTTGATCTTTGTATTCAACAAAGCATCCTGAAAAAATGTATCACAGTTTCCACAAAAATATTAAGCAGCATAACTGTTTTGATGTTAAGAAGAAATGTATCTTGAGCACCAAATGATCATATTAAAATGATTTCTGAAAGATCATGTGACACTGAAGACAGCTGAAAATTTAGCTTTGCAATCACTGGAAAACAATTACATTTCACAATATATTAAAATAGAAAACGGTTCTCCTAAGTTATAATAATATTTTACAATATTGCTGTTTTTATTATATTTTTAATCAAATAAATGCAACCTTGATAAGCATAAGAAACTTTTGTCAAAAATATTTAAGAAATCTTACCAAACCCAAATTTTTCAACAGTAATGTATATTGCATAAAAAATTTTATAAATAAAGAAATCAAAGCAGGTCTGTTCAACCCAGATGACCTCTTTCATACCGTGTGAAAGCACAGCCAATCCTGAGGTCCAGTTCCTGACGAGCATCTACAGACAGAGCCTCATTCCTGTTGGGTTCTCCGAGTCGGTTCATGGCATTACAGATATCCGTGTCTGTGATGGAGCTGAACTTTGCTCGATACACGGTACAATCATTACCGTAAGACATATTCATCAGCGGCTGAATGGCATCCAACACCTGAGATGGTACAACACAAACAAATCAAGAAAACACACACTCAAAAAACTGGACTGAACACCTCAGGCCCAGTTATATGAACAATCTTAGGTTGTATTTTCTTTCAGTAGATTCAGACTCACCTCAAAACAAATGTTCTCTCCTTCTTTATCACAATCCAACCACAGGACAACATAGTCACAACCTTTTGCTTCAACCTGTCAATAAACAGCAACTTTGTTATTTAAAGATTTATGGAAGGGATTTTAAATATAATAATTACATTATAGAATAGAAATGATAAATTCTTTGACAGGCTTACAAGTTGTCTTTATATATAGTTTGTCTAAATGTTTAATTACTTTAGACAATAGATACAACATAATCAGTCAGGTAATGAAATGCAAAGCCACCTGAAGGAATTTGACCATATTTAGCTTGGGGTTTGCTTCTTTCTTCTCAGTCGGAGCTTTACTGAACAACTCAGCTGGATCAACTTTATCCCAGTTATTATACTTTCCTGCAAAACATTAAGGATAGGGAATAATACAAGTCAAGTTTGCATTGTCTTGCGCATACCCTCCCAGTCTAACAGTATGATTTTTTATGTTTTCTAAAGAAGTCTCTTCTGCTCACCAAGCCTAGCATTTATTTGATCCAAAGTACAGCAAAAAAAACAGTAACATTTTTAAAATATTTTTACTGTTTAAAATAACTCTTTTCTATTTGAATACATTTCAATATGTAATTTATTCCTGCGATTTCAAAACTGAATTTTTAGCATCATTACTCCAGTAACATGGTCCTTCAGAAATCATTCTAATATTCTAATTTGCTGTTCAAAAAATATATATTACTATTATTATGCTGAACACAGCCGAGTAGAATTTGTCAGGTTTCTTTGATGAATAGAAAGTTTAGAAAAACAGCATTTATCTGAAATAGAATTTTTTGTAACATTATAAATGTCTTTATCATCACTTTTGATCAATTTAAAGCATCCTTGCAAAAAAAAGTATTAATTTCTATAATTTTCCCCTAAAATATATAATTATATATAATAATAAAAAAATATACTGACTCCATGCTTTTGAATGTTATAGTGTATAATGTTACAAAAGCGTGGAGTCAGTATATTTTTTTATTATTATATATAATTATATATTTTAGGGGAAAATTATAGAAATTAATACTTTTTTTTGCAAGGATGCTTTAAATTGATCAAAAGTGATGATAAAGACATTTATAATGTTACAAAAGCGTTTTATTTCAGATAAATGCTGATCTTTAGATTTTTCTATTCATCAAAGTATCCTAAAATACTCAGGCACTCAACTTGATAATAATAATAATAAAACGCAAATCAGCATATTAGAATGATTTCTGAAGGATCGTGTGACACTGAAGACTGGAGTAATGATGCTGAAAATTTAGCTTTGATCGCAGGAATAAATTACATTTTAAAATATATTCAAATTGAAAGCAGTTATTTTAAATAGTAAAAAAATATTTCACAATATTACTGCTCTTGCTGTATTTTGGATCAAATAAACGCAGGCTTGGTGAGCAGAAGAGAATTCTTCTGCTCACATTAAAAACGTACTGTTCAAAAACTTTTGATTGGTAGCGTACAGTTACAGATTTTGCTTGTATTTTAAAAGCAGTCCTACTGAAGACAAAATACTTGCCGATGAAGTCCAGACTCATGACATGTCCACACACTGACGTCATCTTGAACCTCACATTTTGGCCCATGAAGCTTCCTGTGTACTCATGGACTGAACATGCTCCATTCAGGCCTTTTCGGGATGAACAGCTACCTGTAAGTGAAAGGCAATAAAAATAAATGTTTCAAGACCTCATACATTTCTCATAACTTCATGTTCGCATTTATTTTTTTGCTTTCGGGTCCCATTGACTTCCATATTAGGAACAAAAACTACTATAGAATTCACTGTGACCCAAATCTTTTTAGTTACCATCATTCTTTAAAATATCTTCTTTTGTGTTCAACAGAAGAAAGAAAAGCATACAGGTTTGGAATGACATGAGGGTGACAGAATTTTCATTTTGGGGGTAAACTATCCCATTAACTAAAACAAAATCAAAAACAGATGTATTTTAAATTAAAAATCGTGCAAACATAAGCTTTCACTGACACCACAATAATTGCATTCAGACGAGACTTCATCCTTAACTTCGAATGCACACTGTTTATCATTCATCTGCCTAGAACCATGTCAATGTCTGCAAAAGTAACTAACATGATCATGTAAGCTTGACCACTGCATAAGCGCTCCTTCAGAAACACTAAAAGCTAAAAGCAGTCCAATGGGTGCTGGCATTGAGCGATCCATCATAAATTAAAATGAGAGAGAGAAGAGCAGATTATGCATCATTCCTTTCATTCATTCTTTTTTATTTTGCCCTACCAGAGTTAAACCTGAATGACGTCAACGGTCGCCATCAGGTAACGAGATGCTGTTCCCAAGGCTGAACTCTGATGATGGAGTCCATTGTGAATGAGCCTGATGATGACCTCCTCTCTCTTTGACCACTGGCTTCCGCTACAGATTTTTGGAGGTTTCCATTGAGATGATGCTACATAAATATAGGCCCAAAAGGAGGGGGTGGACACACTTGGACTGGAAGCTTTACCTCCAACAGGCACGGCAAGCCTTCAGCTTTCCCCGCACTCCTCACCTCTGTTTCTCCAGCATGCAACAGCTACAGGTAAGTCTCCAACGCCATTCTCACAAGACTTACCTCACAAGATCATCTAGGACCCAGAACTAGGAAACTGCACTTACTTGGATTGAATCACGTTTTAGATTTAAATGATTACATTTTAATATTAAATTAGTAACACTACCATTCAAAATGTTTTTGAAAAGAAGTCTCTTATGCTCATCCAAGCAGCATTTATTTGCTCAAAAATGCATTGCAAACTGTAATATTGTGAAATATTATTACAATTTCAAATTACAATATATTTTAAAAAGCTGAATTTTCAGCATCATTACTCCAGTCTTAAGTGTCACATGATCCTTCAGAAATCTTTCTAATATTCTGATTTGGTGCTCAAGAAACATTTCTTTTTATTCTCAATCTTGAAAACAGTTGTGCTGCCTATTAGTTTTATGGAAACCATCATACATTTTATTTTTTACATTTACATTTTTGTAAAATTATAAATGTCTTTACTGTCACATTTGATCAGTTTAAGGAATCCTTGCTAAAAGGGTTTATTTCTTTAAAAAAAAACTGACCTCAAACGTTTGAAAGGTAGTTAAGTACATGTGAGTACTTATACAGTGTATATATATATATATATATATATATAAATAATACATGGAAAATTATAGGTAAACAAAATTGCTGAAATCAAATTATTATTAATATTTACCCAAAATTTTAAAAACATCTCAAAAACTGAGAAATTATAAAATTTTAATTGGCCAAAAGTGCCCTGGCTGATATACATGTATAACTAAACTAAAACTGAGCATCCAATAGTTTAGGATCAAATACATTTTTAGTATTTATCTGTAATACCTTGCAATAACCGAGAGCCCAAGACAATGTTTTAGTAAACTATATTTATTTATTGTTCATCACTGATGTATTTAATATAGACTAAGGGACACATGGAATCTATAATTATTCTTTAACTTGAATAATACCAATGTACACTGCTGGGGCCCGTTCTTCGTACGTCGCTCATTACATCCGAGATGAAATGTCACATCCAAGATGATATCATCGCATATAAATGTGATGATTAATCAATGAAATGTGCACTGTTTTTATTTTATTTTAATTTTTTACATGATTCCCTATTATTTATAATCACGATTTTTAATTTTTGTACAGGCTTTACATTTTTATTTCAATGTAGCAGTTAGCAATTAATTTAATTTTATATTTGAACAGATTTGTTACGTGACAGCATTATTTAAAGTTTCTTAAGGGTCAAGATCAAGTTATCTACATCTCCTGCAGCTCCATCAAGCCACTCCCATAATATCTGTCACCACTCAAATTAATGCACGACTCTACATTATCTGTATAGCATGTGTGTAAGACTCAAATACAATTATAAAGTAATAATTTTATGACGAATAAATCTTTCAGTGAGTAAAACTGGCTGTGTCTATAGTAGGGCTGTGCAATATATCAAAATTATCGAAATATCACAAATGTAAATATCGCAATATGCATATCGCTACAGCTTGCAATATTTGGGGCCATGAACAAAAGACAAAGAGAAAATTACTCACTGCTCTTACCTAAATAGCTTTTATAGGTTAAATAAGAATCAGTGCATATTAAATTCAAAGAGTAAATACTAAGCAGTGTTTTATGTGAGTACTTATACAGTGTATATATATATATATATATATATATAAATAATACATGGAAAATTATAGGTAAACAAAATTGCTGAAATCAAATTATTATTAATATTTACCCAAAATTTTAAAAACATCTCAAAAACTGAGAAATTATAAAATTTTAATTGGCCAAAAGTGCCCTGGCTGATATACATGTATAACTAAACTAAAACTGAGCATCCAATAGTTTAGGATCAAATACATTTTTAGTATTTATCTGTAATACCTTGCAATAACCGAGAGCCCAAGACAATGTTTTAGTAAACTATATTTATTTATTGTTCATCACTGATGTATTTAATATAGACTAAGGGACACATGGAATCTATAATTATTCTTTAACTTGAATAATACCAATGTACACTGCTGGGGCCCGTTCTTCGTACGTCGCTCATTACATCCGAGATGAAATGTCACATCCAAGATGATATCATCGCATATAAATGTGATGATTAATCAATGAAATGTGCACTGTTTTTATTTTATTTTAATTTTTTACATGATTCCCTATTATTTATAATCACGATTTTTAATTTTTGTACAGGCTTTACATTTTTATTTCAATGTAGCAGTTAGCAATTAATTTAATTTTATATTTGAACAGATTTGTTACGTGACAGCATTATTTAAAGTTTCTTAAGGGTCAAGATCAAGTTATCTACATCTCCTGCAGCTCCATCAAGCCACTCCCATAATATCTGTCACCACTCAAATTAATGCACGACTCTACATTATCTGTATAGCATGTGTGTAAGACTCAAATACAATTATAAAGTAATAATTTTATGACGAATAAATCTTTCAGTGAGTAAAACTGGCTGTGTCTATAGTAGGGCTGTGCAATATATCAAAATTATCGAAATATCACAAATGTAAATATCGCAATATGCATATCGCTACAGCTTGCAATATTTGGGGCCATGAACAAAAGACAAAGAGAAAATTACTCACTGCTCTTACCTAAATAGCTTTTATAGGTTAAATAAGAATCAGTGCATATTAAATTCAAAGAGTAAATACTAAGCAGTGTTTTATTTTTCCTTTTTATTATTCAGTTCCTAAACTCATGTTAAAATGATTACACTAATGTTAAAATGACATTTTTATGTAATGCTTGAGTAAAACACATACCGTTCACTTTCAGAAGTTATTGTAGGGGTGCTTTCTTATTAGAATCAGAATCAGAATGAGCTTTATTCACCACTTAAGTGTGCGCAAACCCAAGGAATTTGTTGTAGTTTTACAGGAACTCTTGGTACATACATACAAATAACCATATATATATATATATATATGACACGATAGTTATAGAAGTTCACAGAACTGACTCAGCAACAGCGGAGTAAAAACTGTTTCATCTGAGCATGTGGCACTTTAAGCATTATCGTATCGCATTATTTAAGGAGTAATCGCATATCGCATTTTTCTTCAATAATCGCACAGCCCCAGTCTATAGTATTAAAGACTACACAACATTATTATGTTATCTTTAAATGATTATTATTTTAAATTATTGTCCCTGGATTAGTATGGGTACTCTTGTAATAAAGTAGCGGTGGTAGCGGACAGATTTTAAGTATCAGTTCTGCTTAAAAAGATGCAATCTAATCCTGTTTACATGAAATAAGCCTGCTCTCGAGCAGGTTTTAAGCTTACGGACCTGTTGCTACGACAGCAACTCCGGGATGAGCTTCAAAGAACCAAACGATCCAAGATCATGCCAAATCGTCAACAATCAAATCCAGCTAACTGAGTTAGCGACGTACGAAGAACGGGCCCCTGCACTGCATCTGTGAATGCAGGCGTTATATTTTGGCAGTAGCTATGGAATGACCACAATCCATGAAGGTGTCCACCGGTGACAGGTGCAAACTAATAAATACTGATGGTTTGTTGCCTACTTCTCACTCTCCCGTTCAGATTCAAGGACTCCTGAGCATTTTTCTGCTGGTCTTGAACCCCAGCCAGTGCAGTCCGATCATGGCCCAGTGTGTGGAACAAACCTACTGCTCCTCCACGCTGAAAGAGTACCACGCACAGGCACAGCTCATCAACCTGCCCAGCAAGATCAACGAACGCAGCATCGCCGCATGGAGCTACGAGTGAGTACAGCAGATTTGTAAGCCTTTTTAAAATATGGATTTATAGCCAGCAAAAGGGAAAGTATACTGCAGGTGCATTTTATACAGGACGCATGCAATCCTTTTCTTATAAAAGTTTGTAACAATTCAGAATTTGACAAATGAAAATACATAAAAATGCAAACAACTGCATGCATTTTGATGCCCATTAGGACAATTACAGACCATCAAATTCTGAATATAAGAATATTTTTCTGTACCAATAACAGGAAGAACATCGACCTGGACCGTGTGCCACAGATCATCTATGAAGCAAACTGCCTGAACACTCATTCCTGTAAGGGGGTCGACAGCTCTTTCAGTCTGGAGAGCATCCCCATCGCAATCAAAATGCCATTTCTCAGAAAAAACCCAAGATGCCCAACTTACGCACTGGAATTCAAGGATGTCAATATCGCCTGTATATGTGCTACATCCAGACAGAATTAGCACTGGGTCTAACAGTTCATGCACTGGATTTTATTTTAATTATTATAATACCGTCACTTAAATTTAATGTCAACCACAAAGAAGTCTACTGAATAGTAATGCTTATCGTCCTAAACAACCAACAACACAATGCATATGCTGCAACACAGATGCCTTGAGTTGCCAAATGCTTGTAAATGTGATTAAATAAACTAGTTTAGTAACAAAAACTTTTGATCTCATTCAGGAAACAAATGTTTCAAAATGTAAGACTCATTTCTTTTAAAATACTCAACAAAATTAAACAACCCGTAACCTTTTTCCTGCTTACTTAAAGAGTCCTGCAGTGTGACTATTAAAAATATTCAATATACTCTATAAATTAGTACAGTGGTTCCCAAACCTGTCCTGGAGGACCCCCTGCCCTGCACATTTTGTATGTCTCCCTAATCAGACACACCCAGTTTAGTTCTTGCAGTCTCTACTAACGAGGTAATGAGTGGAATCAGGTGTGTTAGATAAGGGAGACATTCAAAAGGTGCAGGGCAGGGAGGCCTCCAGCACAGGTTTGGGAAGCACTGAATTAGTATGTAGCCAAAAAACGGAAAGCCAATTATAAAATAATTAGAAACGTGCTATTCAACATATTTTTAGTCTAGCATCTCATTTGACGTGTAATGACATCTGTCCATCTGCTGAAGGGATATATCAGTGTAATATTAATGAATGAATGTCAAACAGGACCAAATAAGAGGAGCTGGGAAACCAAATCAATTAATCCCCTGTTTATAAATTAGGGCAGCTGTAATTACATGCAGTATATTTAATTTTTCTTCAGACTCACCTTTAGAGAGGATTTTGGCAATGGACTGAGCCAGAGAGGGCTTCTCAGCCACCATAAACACAGTCCTCATCGCTGCTGGTTTTATTTATCTGTCACAAACATCAACGGGACCTGACAATGAAATAACAAAAGTATATATCTTATTTTAAAGTTAATAACTAAAGCTAAAATTAGCCTTTTTAGACCAACAATCGAGATAACACGCCGGTATGTGATGCAGCCACTTCCTTAGGAATGTTAACTTCCGGGTTGTTCGTGTTTTTTCAAAATAAAAGCCGAGACTAAATTTAAAATGGCGATTAAAATTAAATAATAAAAATAAAATGTATTGTAATAATAATAATAATTAATAATAACAACAAACTAATAAACAACAATATAATATAGCAATATAACAAAATAATATTAAATATTGACCCATTTCATTTTTATTTACAATTTGAGAAATTATACTT